GCCAATTTCACATCAACAGCCGAGGACGACGCAGCGTAGCACGACCGCCATGCTAACTGGGATACTGTGAAAACCAGCGCGCTGGAGCGTTCCTAAATAGCCGCCGCCGCCACAGTCCTCCGTTCACGCAGCGCTTTATTAGATGCTAAGCAGCTTGACTAGCCTGTGTAATGCTGTCCCTCCGTACGAGTGTGCCGCAAGTGTTGGTGCCGTGCTAAGTAGGTCACGCCGTTGCTGCGCGTTGGCATCACGCTCCCTTCGCAGTACGCGCTGACGTCACTCTCTCCTTCGCCTGCCGCGCGCTCGTGGTTCGTCCGTTTGCCCGCAACACCTGCTGTGACCGCCGCTCATCTGTGCGTGTTACCTACAGGATCTACGCCAGCCATCGCTTCAAATGAATCTTCCAGCGCTCACCACAGCGCCCGCGTTAGCGCCGTTCAAACCGTGACGCCACCCGTGTGCAACGCTGCTGCTTCGCAGTTACTCACCCCAAGTGGAACCTTTTACGTGACTGTTGCCGTGCACAGCATTGCCCGGCTTTACTGCGTGGCCACCGACACTAGTAGCAGCAGAACGAGAGTAGCGGGAGCCACAGCAGCAACAACGGCCTTTGAACAATTTCCTGTCATGGCCTCCGAGATGGCAGGCGTGCTAGGTTCAAGTTCGCCCCGCTAGACGGCACAACCTGTCCAGTTTAACCAGCCAAAAGTTAAAATTTTGAACCACTCGCACCATTCTCCATAGTAACGTCCGGTGAATATTTTTTTTTCATGAATCAAACAGAAACGAACAAGCAGCATTTTATTATGTCTCTTGATCACGACAACTCCTTTATTTAGTGCAGCTTGTTCGATTGCTAGTGATTAACTGTAGGCGGTAAATCTGACGTCATCAGGGTCATTTTGCGAATGCCTACTCGTGGCGCATGTGTTCTCGTACATTTGCATTAATTTCTTGGTAAGTAGTAGGACACTGCTGTTGATAATATTGTTGGTTTATACGTTTTGATACATCGAGATTTAACTCTGACTTAAATTGTTATTTTACTTTAAGGCCTCTTTAATAAAGTACACTGCGCGAGTTTATTGACATTAGATTCGGAAGTACAATAGGCCCAGATTAAGGCAGGTTTCAGGTTTCAGTTGCACAATGATGCATTTAAGGTGGTATGGTGGGATAAACCCCCCTACCCCCCGAAAAAAATGAAATTTACAATTTTGACACCGAAAAATCTACTGCGCTCTGAGGAACAAACCTGTGAAAGCCCGACGAGAAGCGGCCGCTTCAAGCGGTTTAAATTCAGTGCCGAATGAAGTTACCGTATACGCTACCTAAAAGTAGCATATACAGGAACCTTAGTGCCAAAGTCTGCCGTGCGTCCTCTGGCGTAAGCAGTTTGCGCATATGAAACTTCGTTTTTCTCGAATGGCGTTTTTTTTAGAAATTTCTCACTTTCAGCGTACCTTTTCTAAAAAAAAGTGTTGAATCGATTTCAATGAAAGTTTAAATGCATATGATACAACAAGTTGGAAATATCTGAACTAAAAAAATTGCTGATTTTGTAAAAAGTGACGCTGTAAAAACTCAAACAGCAATACGCACCCTCTGTGGCCTTGTGCATGCAGTAATTTTTTTAGAAAAGCTGCATAAAAGATGCCCTATTTTTAGCTAAGGTATAACATAAAAGTATCTACAATAACACGGATGAATGTCATTACATTCCTTCCGGAGGTGGCAGAGAAAAAGTACATTGAATAAGTGAACCCACTTTTAAACTTGAGAGTAGACCATAGGAATAAAATCTAGGAATAAAAATCTAGGAATAAAAAAGTGTCACGTGATAACCAGTGGTATTTATTGCGAGCCCGTGAAATTTTATGTGAATACTTGCAGCAGTTTCTAAAATGTTATGTAAAAACTGACATGTACCATTTACCTTACCATTTCCCCTTAATAGACGAAAATGGAAGGAATATGGGACTTAATAATGATGCCTATGTCACTTAACGTCGTGAAACGAATTAGGGAGGCCCTCACTTTTATTCTGACCACTACTAGACAAAGTCGTTGCTGAAAGAAAAGCTGACAATTGTAGAGCTTCATGGAAGTAATACATGGTATAAAACAACTTTTCCTTTGGCATGCAGACATAGACGTTCATTTCAAAATTTATGAAAGTTTCATACCTATTTTTATTAGATAATTGTTTTCATGTGATATGTGCCCGTGAGAAAAAGCGCGAACCGTCCACATATTCTGCTTGATTTGCTGGCGCAGTGTGCAAGCGAAGCAGCTGGTATTTAAACATTTCCACTGTCGTCTTTCACTACTCATCCACTCCTGCTATAGTCGTGTATTTGGGCTGCTGTATATTGAAATAAATAAGTAAGTAAATAAACAAATTTGAGACATAACGTGTTCGAAATGGTCACATTTTATTTTACATGGAGTGTATCATAATCTAAACTCCCTGGTGCACGAATGAACTACAGACGTGCGTCGTCACTTCGATTCTTCAAGGAAATGCTTGGACAATGCCAATTTACCATCTTCATGTAGTCGTGTATAAACGAAAGAAGGCAGGCTCAGTTAACATCGACGTCATCCGAGGATAACGAACTTTTGCGCGAGTGTATTGGAACAACATGAAAACAATAGACACTAGGTCGAAAACGGGGGCAAAAAGAACGTTAAAGATTTGATTGATATGTGGGGTTTAACGTCCCAAAAACCACCATATGATTATGAGAGACGCCATAGTAGAGGGCTCCGAAAATTTTGACAACCTGAGGTTCTTTAACGTGCACCGAAAACTGAGCTCACGGGCCTACAACATTCCCGCCTCCATTGGAAATGCAGCCGCCGCAGCCGGGATTCAACCCCGCGACCTGCGGGTCAGCAGCCGAGTACCTTAGCCACTAGAGCACCACGGCGGGGCAGAACGTTAAAGAGTTTGGGGCAGCTGATTTACTATGAGTTACGCAGCAACAGCAGTGCGAGGTACAGGGCTTCAGGAAAGACCAGCGCCATTACCCAGTGGTACTTTCTTCGTTATCAAAAGAAAAGCACACTCTAAACTAAAGGTAGTTGGTGCGGTTGTCGGCATTTTCCTTAATTTCTGTCCATAACGCTCTTCTTTTTTCTCTTTTTTCTTTCCTCAGAGGAAGTACTGCACTTGTAGAGCGCCCTGGGGCATCCTTCCGCCGTCCATCTGATGCATTTCTCGAAATTGTTAAAAGCATGCATGGAGGTTATTTCTCACAACTAAGCGGTTTCAACTCGACGTAAAATGTCTGTCATGAGAGACTCATCACCTAAAAACCTCGCCTCACGTTGCCTAGCAACCAGCCACGCCGCAGATAGACCCATGACCTAACCAAGTGGCGCATGCACAAAACTAGCTGCCGCTAAGCCACGCCCACTAACGGAGACAACGCGCACACCTCGCATCACGCCGTCTAGCGACCATATCGCACTACCTTGCCACGCAGCACATGTCCAGTAGCTACGCCACGCCCACCGGCAGAGACATCCTAAGGAACCACCGCTCATAGCCTTACTGTGCCCGATTGTGCCCACACAGTCTTGGGTGTCCTAAGAAAGATCGTGCTCAGAAAGAAGAAAAAGCCGTCTACCTCGAAGCCTATAAGTATCGGTCGACGAGAACGTCAGTAAATGGCTAGTGATCCAACCTACTTGACCCGAGAAGAAGCCGCGAGGAGGCGCGACAAGCCGATCCTGACGACGCTCGACGAGAGAATGCCAGGGAGGAGGAGAGACGGCGATGGCCCCGTGAAGAAAACTCTGACGTCATGGAACCAAAGTACGAGCGGCCATGGGCTCGGACTTTGCTGTGCCAAGCTTTGCGCGATGTATTGCCAGCTTCCTGCATTTTTAAATTTTCTTTTTCCCCGATACGGATACATTACTTTTTTTTTTTACTCGAAACGAATCTCCTCACGCCAACTCATTGCGAGCTTTGAAAAGAAGGATTCACAGTTTCGCCGCAATGGTGTAGCAATGAATGTTATAACAACAGATGGTAATGTTGGGCGAAGTAAGGCAAGCAGCTGACTCTCTTGGTATCCAACCTGGCATAACTCAATAGAACGCCGGCCGGCCTATGGGAACACAGCTGTTGCCGCGTGGAAAGCGACCTGCGTGCTGTCTGCAGCATACACAAATGCATGATCGCTCTTCTGATCGCTGTTAAGATAGGTATGCATGTGACAATGCCCCGGTTGATACAGTGTTCATGCTATACGGTCGCGTATGCTCCACACCATAAACCCCCCCCAGTGGTTTTTCGCACGACGAAATACACCTGTTTCCTCACCAAGACACGATTGTCGGGTGCCTTCTCGTGCTTTCGCTCCCTCGTACAACATACGATGCATGGAGTGATGTTATCGATTCTTACTGTAAGCGGAACCTCATTGGCATAAACAACGGCATAATATGCACTGGAAACGAGTGTCCAAAGAATTGTTATCGCAGTAATAAGAACGAGATCAGCAAGCAAGCTTCATGGCACAGCACTCACTCAGGCTTCAGCACCATTTGCTAGAGAGAGAGAAAAAAAAAAACAAGAAATGTAAATGGTTGTTCCATTTGTATAACAAACATTGACTTAGCAATGGTGAGCTTACAGTAGATGAGGACATGAGCCACATTTCAGGACACTGAGCAAGTCCTCGGACAGCGGTGGTTGTTTCTTGATCAAGAACAGAGCAGATGGGAGATGAAGACATTCGTATACTTTTAGCTAAAAAGTTCATGCGCATTTCGTGTGTGTCCGCTGTGCATGAACTCGCTGGTAGACAGACTTCGTTATTGCAGTAGGCAGTCACGGCCACAGGTAGATTCCTGTGAGTTCCACCACAATAGCGAATGGTGGAGGATGATGCGGTTGTGCTCATCGGGAACAATTATCAGCGAAACGAAAACTTGTTAGGCGAAGCGGCCAGATCTCAAGTTTTCTTAGCCCTGTTTAACCTTACCATTGGCCAACGACGTTTCCTTACTGGCGCCCTTTTTTCGGATGTATGTCTGGACGTAGAAGTTGATGAACAATGCGAGTCCGAGCAGTAACTGCGCGATGCCAAACAGTGCCAATGCCTTTGGATAGCCGCAGTCGTAGAATATCGGAACAGTGAAGTGCACAACGACGAATATGAACTGCGCAATCTGCAGGCGGGTGAGGTACTTCTTCCACCACAGGTATGGTTGCACTGCCGGTCCAAGGGCCGCCAGGAAGTAGTACGTGTACATAATCACGTGCACAGCTTGGTTTATGATCAGTCCCAGTATTCCCTGGCCCTCGTTGCCGAAGTTGAGCCACACCCAACCACTGAGCACCACGAGGAAGTGATGGATGACGTGGAGCGCCGATATCTGCGAGAACTTCTTGCGGGCCACGAAGAAGAACGTGTCGAGGAAGTCGGCGATGCGGACGTATACGTACCAATAGTTCAAGTGCACCACCTCTACAGAATGCTCGTCATTCTTGAAGCCCTGGCAGATGAAGTTGTAGCCGCCGCCGAAGTACGTTAATCTTGCGTACCGGTAACAGAAGTAGGCGTTCACCAACGCCATCATGAAGTTGTACGCCAGGATCGCGCTTCGAAGCTTGTACGGTTCGCGATTCTTCATCCATCGGGGGCCGCCGATTTTGGCCAGGTACACGTATGCAAACAGGAGCGGTATGATGAGGCGGCCCTCAGTCACTACGCCCCATCCTTCTACCCTGGGGTCTCGGAAGGACCACACGTGATGGTACAGTTCAAGTAGAGATGCTAATGAGGACACCGCCATGTGGATTTACGTGTGGACGCGGCTTGGCGAGATGGCACGCGAGGTCTTCGGTGAAGCTTGTTGGTGACTGTGGTCGCTGCGAGGCGTGGTTAGGCGCGTTCACCGTTGTCTCGCAGAGTCGCCTTCCTTAGCGAGAAGTCTTTGCGGAATGTCAGCCGTCCACTGGTTCCTGCACGTGTCTGGTTCCGTTGTAAGTGTACGGATCAAGAAGCAGTGCTCCCTGCGGGAAAACTCACTGCATTGCATATGCACTTCCTCACCGGGCTGCTTTTATGCCACGATCCCCTGACGCAGAAGTCATGCAGACAGCGTGCGACCAAAGAATGATGTGCGTGATCCGCGTTCATATCTTTATACCGGCGTGCTACCTCCCTTTTTATTTTGTCTTTCGGATATTTATTTCCTTCTATTTTCGTCCTTGCTCGCCTAGTTCGTATTGTTGAGCCAGGCACAAGAGGCGCTTGGGTCAGGGTTATACCATCCGAAGAAGGGAGTGAGGCGGTGAGCGCTAATATAATACATCTGGAGAGTGGGAAATGAACGCGATCGACACGTTTTGGGCGGATTCCCGAGGCAGATGTGTTAACAGCGGTGGCGAGTTCCTGAAGGCGGAAAAAAGAATGAAGAGGCCGATGTCCAGGAAAAAGCGGTGAGAAAAGAAAGCATTGCTGTGTAAACGTCCATAGTTCGCTTTCCTGCATCTCCTGACTGTTTGTCGCGATAGCCTTCCCAGAACGTACGTCGTATTGGCTAGTGCCAGTTTTTTATGCTAACGGTAAAGATATCACTTGCTTCGTAGTGTGTCATACTGCATATCTCTTTGAACTGTGCTAGGAGAAACGTCTGAAGTCTCCTTCAAGAAAGTCCAATCGCTCAACAAACATACCCATGCATGAAAGTACAAAATACAGCATTATACTCAACTAAAAATCTACACTTATTACGCTTTAGTTGCATGTTGGACTTGAACATACACACCATGGCTAATTTCTAGCCTAAAAATACGTTCGATGTTATTTTTCATCTTGCAGACAACTGTACTCAATATATAATTAGGTTCTATGCGAAGTGGAAAGTTTGATTACAAATGCTTTCCGCTTATTTTGCGGAACTTACATTCAAAGGGCGTATACCAATATATCAGTATAGCGTAGACGGCATTTTTTAGGGGTCGGGGAGGTGGTTAAACCACTTTTATTCGTTCGTGAGCGCGCTTGTATATGTGCGTGTATGTATACGCGCTCAAATATGGACATTTATGGGTGGGGGGAGACGTCTGATTTCCCTCGCCGTGCTTGCTTTGTCAGTGGCGTATACTTACCACCAGAGTCCTCCAATGTTTTTGTATAAAATGCCATTAAAAGGATAGATAGTCTCATTAGGTCAAATAATTTCTACTGAGGGCCCTCAAGGTGTAAGTTTCATGGAAGGAAATAAAATATGGGCCCTCATTTCATATCACCCTATAGCTTTCCCTAGCTTTATGGTCAGTTCAGGAGCGCCCTAACAATGGTCGTGGATTCGATCACTTGACATGCTAATTGACTTCTTCTTCTGCGGAAGCCATGCATAAACTGGATTCCTTTTCGTTTCTTGTTGCATGGTAGTGGAAGTGGGCTGTAATTTTTTTCTTTGATAACTTGCTCTCTCTCTCTCTCTCTCTGTGTGTGTGTGTGTGTGTGTGTTTGTTTGTGTTTGTGTGTGTGTGTGTGTGTGTGTGTGTGTGTTTGCATGCGTGTGTGTGTATTCATATTTTTAGAGTTTAGCGGAACACATCAGACGCCTTTCGATTGCCAGCACCACTTGCGGCATCGGCACTCGCGAAGCAAACACACGCTCGGTAATAACTATGATCATGTGAATTCGTTCTTTAAGCGGCGTGATCAGGAAAGCGCCGATGAGTGACACGCAGTGAAGATGCGCATGTATTTATTTATTTTTGTCGTTTTTGTCTTTCCTTTACGTCGACGTGGCTGTCGCCATCTCGGCGATCCTGTGACACGGTTAGGCGTGGGAATGTCTTTCGTATTCATCGCATGCGATGCATAATATCCTATTCCGGCGCCGTGCACGTTTCTCACGCGCAGTAGACTTACAGTTCAGCTGACACGTGCATCAGCTATTTTCGTTTTACAAGTTCTCAAGCCTCGGAGGATAACTCAAGTTAGGTTCAAATCTAATTCGCTGTTCAAGTACAAGCAAATAACATAGAGAAGTCGTTCTTGTGAGACTATTGCATAATAATAATAATAATAATAATAATAATAATAATAATAATAACAACAACAACAACAACAACAACAACAACAACAACAACAACAACAACAACAACAACAACAACAACAACAACAACAACAACAACAACAACAACAACAACAACAACAACAACAACAACAATAACAACAATAACAACAATACCAACAACAACAATAACAACAATAACAACAACAACAATAACAATAATAATAATAATAATAATAATAATAATAATAATAATAAATAATAATAATAATAATAATAATAATAATAATAATAATAATAATCTATTCAGTTTTACAAGCCATAACCCCGACGTGATTATGAGGTGTGCTGCAGTGACTAATTTCGGACTTCGGACTAATTTGGACCGCTTGAGCTTCTTCACCGTGCACCTAAATCTGGGTACACGAATGTTCTTGCATTTCTGGCCCTTCGCGATGTTGCCGCTGCAGCTGCGGGAATCGAACCCACGTCCTTGAGCTTAGCACTGCGACACCTTTAGCCGCTAAATATTAGAGAACCGCCCTTTGACAACGCCCAAGAGTGCACCACTATTTCAGCGAAATATGCTTGGTATAAAAAAAATTGAAAAATTAAAAGTTTACAGTATAGCCCTGTAAACCTAAAGAAACAGCTAAGCTGCGTTGCCGATAATGGGGGCTTAACGTGACTTTCTTGCCTGATGATAGGTCTTACCTTGGCGTAGACAGAGTAGAGTCGAACCGTGGCCTATCACAGGCTATTCAAGAATGTTTATACTGCGGCGCCAGACACCAACATGCAAGCCTGGTTAGAAGCGTGGGTTTTTCTTCACTCGTATTCGGCTCGTGCCATGCCGACCAAAGTTATCCAAACCCGCCAAGCTACTATAGGCTGCTGAGCCAAAGTTCGCGGGATCGAGTCCCGACAGCGGCGGCCGCATTTTCGATGGAGGTGAAAATGCTGCGGGCCTGTGTGCCTATATATTTAGGTGCACGTTGAAGAACCCCAGGTGTTCGAAACTTCTACAGCCTTTCATAAGACGCCTCTCATAATCATATGGTGGTTTTGGGACTTTAAACCCCAACAATTATTATATTATCACCGGTCTTGGTCCGGCGGTTGCGACTGCCTTCGTCGGCTTCTCCTCAGCCGATATGCACGGAGGCTAGATTAAATTCAAGTGACGCGCAGCTGTGGCTTGCTTATATTGATATGTAATGGCGTGGAGGTTTTCTTTTTTTTGTTGTTGCACACAGCGAACGTTTTATCTTGAGCTTTGAGAGCTTCGCTTTGAAAAACGCGCAAGAAGAGATTGCATGTGACGACGCCACATTAAAGTTCACGAACCTGCTAACCTTGGCATCACAGATTTTAAAGGCATCTGCAAGAACCTTTACAATTACTAACCGGTAAAAAGTAACTGCCGCCGCCACGGTGGTCTAGTAGCTAAGGTACTCGGCTGCTGACCCGCAGGTCACGGGATCGAATATCCCGGCTGCGGTGGCTACATTTTCGAAAAAGGCGGGAAAGTTGAAGGCCCGTATGCTCAGATTTGGGTGCACGTTTAAGGACACCAGATGGTCAAAATTTCCGGAGCTCTTCCGCCTACGGCGTCCCTCATAATCATATGGTGGGTTTGGTATGTTAAACCTCAAAAAAAAAAAAAAAAACTAAAAAGGAACTTCGTTGTGTTCTAAGGACGCCGCACTCTATATGGCATGTTTCAGAAACTTTCATTGAGCGAATGGGTCCAAATGTAAGGCGAAATATCTCGGTAATTTCCTGCGTCTCTCTGGCATTTGGCTCTCATTCAGTGCGAAATTAAAAGCGTAAACTTTGCCTTTACTTTCCAGTTTTATGTAACTATGATGAAACGAATTAGCTGCAATAGAGTTTTATACGGATTATCAATTATTCAAACTGATTCAGCGTTTTACTTTAGCCTTCTCTTAAACGTATGCGAGGTTGTAGGTACTTTTTTTTTATCCCTTTTCCCCTCCACTGGTGCAGACTAGTGGGCTAGAGCATATATACTGTTTCTCAGGTCTACATCTCTTCCTTTCTGTTCTCTCTTTAAGACAACTCGTTCGTGCGGCGGGTGGACGTGGAATTCTTGCGAAACTATAGGGCTGTACTTGCAGCAGCCTGAGAACACGAACAACAGTATACGAGCTGTCTCGGTTTTCCCTATGCTTGCACGTACTGCTAGGCACACTAACGAAGCGTACTGTTTCTTAACATGCAGCACCAATGAGCTCGCTAACAAACATCATTGAAATTCGGTGCTATCGCTGTCTTCAGCATGGATCAAAACATTTATTTTGCAACTTCTGAATGTTTTTTTTTTTCATTCGCGTCTTGTCAATAGACAGCTTTAGTATAGCGGGAAACAACAAATGCAAGAATATAGCGTTAGCGTCGGAGTTGAGGGCTCCAAGGTTAGAATGTGCAGAACGTTAACCTATATAGCCCGAACTCTTACACACGAGTGCTATTTCTGGAATATAGCGTTGAACGTCAACGTACGCGAGAGATCACGTACGTATATGGCAAAATTGCGGTGCCTTGAAGCGAAAGCCGACCACCTTTAATCTTTCTAGTTGGCAGCCTGCGTTATTAAACCCATTCATTCCTAAATATAGCTCGTATTGGATTCAGATTTAAGCAATGAGTCTTAGCCAGCCATGTACTGCCGATGAAATAGCTCCGCTTTGGAAGTACACACACGATTTGCGGGGCAGAAGGCGTAACGCAGTTTGTTTACAAGGTTCGCTCATGTTTTCTGTAGCCGCGCAGCTATATTCCCTCGCCTATTTCGAAGATAACGCAAATTCTGGCACAGGTCAACCTGAGACATGTAATAGGGGCCTTTAGAGGAATGCTCGAAGAAGAAAGCGATGTGTTTCGGGCTGTCAGGCGAAACCTTGAACCAAACGCGGAACGGAGACGCTGCAGCATCCGTCGGTCACTTCTCTTCGGCTAGATTTAGTGACATGTGCAATCGAGGTTTTTATTTTGCTCTTCGCCTTCTTTCTCATCTTTGTTCCCCATTCTCCTTTCCCTTCGTGCAGGGTATCAATCAGGATGCCCC